TAGCAGGTTAAAATCAATTATCACACCTGCGCCCGTGAATCAAATGCTAAGAACAATTTAAATATTCCATCCTGGGGACAAGGTTACAGAAACCACCAAGGAAAAATGAAAAGAATTGAAAGGAACGTTTAAAACTTGCAAAATTTGTATGCTCGCAGGATTGAACCTTGCATCTAGGTGGACAACTAAATCCTGCTCTTGCCCATACGCTAGCATGGCTATGCCACATTTTACTTTTAGTTTGGTAATCACTAGAGGCGCTGTTCTACGAAAATTCACGATATAGTGAAAATTCACCGTTGCAGTAGCTGACAAATTTCAAGATTTCACCACCATCATGATCGCAGAATTCATGCCGACAACGGAAATATTTCCACAAGAGAGACAGTAAAAATATAGAAACAAAAAAGTAGGATGTCAGAAAATGCAACTTTAATTTCAAGGGGTTTCGAACCCGCAACCTTCATTGCACCTGTTGTTGTGGTTCAACAGTTCAGTGCACTACGCCACTACAATCTACGAAGTTAAACTTAAAATTCGCTCGTCGGGAGTGACCGTAAAATTAGCGATCTCGAAGCTAACATAATACTGCATATTGATATAAAAATATAAAACCGAAAAAGAGGGTTTTAAATTACACGAATTAACTTTTAGGGATTCGAACTCTAGACTTGCGAGAAGCGGGTCGGTATGGATTCTCAGTCTAGCCACTACGCCACGAGGTACTCCACGTTAAAACCGAGCTAGATTCAACACCGGAAGCGCCATGTCGTGTATATTTAACCCTATTGCAATAAGGCACCAAATGATTAACTCTTCATCCCACCATGGTACAAAAATATAGGGCAGGAAAAATGTAGTTTTTAACATGCAGCATGCAACCCTGAGATTAAGACTAGCCGTTTAGGAGGTAGAACATGAGGCGAATGGCCATCATTCATAGCCACTGAACTACAAAGTCATTCGAATACAGACAAACAGACGGCCAAGTGCAATGTTAACCATTGAGTGTGTATACAATTTTACGCCCAGCTCTTTGAGTTTAATTCTGACATTCTGGGGACTGTTGACAATACTTTTCCCAAGACAAAAACAAACATAAAAAACGAAAAAAAAAGTAAGTTTCTCAAAATTGCAAATTAGCTGTAAGGGACTCGAACCCGCAACCGTTTCATTTCCCCCTTGCTGCAGTTCAACGGTGCAAAGCACTATACTACGCTGTTCTACGACAGTTATTTTTGAATTCGCTCGTCGGAAATGATCGTAAAATTAGAATGGTCAACGGCAATGCGTATTTGATGTTATTAAAATAATATAAAACCCAAAAAAAGAAGGTTTACAAAGATGCTTTAAAATTTTCTAGTGGATTAGAACCCAGGGCCAGCAGTAGGTAAACGGATTCGCCTGGTATTGTCCTCACAGCTTAACCGGTCGACTACAAGAGTCATCGGCAAAAATAGCACTAATAACACTGCTTACGGTGTTCATTTTAACACCTCTCAACAGCGATTCACCCAATATCCCTCACATTAAATCCCACAAATAAGAATATAACGATTCATGAAATAAAAACGAAAAATGAGGATATTTACAAAATCGCGTTTTTTATATGTGGACTGGAACCTCCGACCTCCAATGACGAAGCAACGGAAGCCTCTACTATACTAGCGGGGTCGCTCTACGTAAAATATTGGAAAAACGTCAGCACCGAAAGCGTACACAAACACCAGGCAATAGTGAATGTGCCAGTGAGCAATCTACCTGGGCAGCCAGCTACATAAAAACCCGTACAACATCCTAACGAAAGTGTATCCTCGTGCGGTTATGCATTACATTGTCCAAAAATTACCAACAGACAGCAGGGACGGTAGCTACTCTTGCTTTATTAAACTCGCAACTCGCATAGTAACTAAACAACAAAAATGTCTTACGGGACGAAACGCAAAAACCATAATGTACCCACTAAGGAGTGTACAACCCGAATAGAGGAGGAAACTAACCGCAAAACAATAAGAATAAAAGATAAAACGATACATTAGATCTACAGTATGAGATCTCAGAGTCGACATGATCGTAGAAATAAAAGGATGAAGGTAAAGGAGATCATACGAGTGAAGCACGGTTTCCAGCATTTCACACAAAATACCAGACAAGATAGTGGGCAAGATCCGCCTGCCAAAGTCCACCAATGATAGCATATTAAGGAATCTTGGAAGGGAGCTTAGAGACGGCTTCCTTGACAGCAATTCTCCCACGCTCGAAACGCTGCTGGGCTTCAGTGCGTTCGGACATCTTCTGAGCGACTGTCTCCGTCCACGCTGTCACACGGTTCTCCAGTGCCTGCTTGGCCGCTTTCTTCTTCTCCGAAGCCGGAGGAGTCATCGTGACCCGACAGATAACCACAGTATCACAGATCCCACAAATAAACTTAAGGCAGCGGAATCAGCGGAATAATATCACGGTAATTGTAAATAATTAAATTAAAATAAAAATTCATAATGGGATACATTCAGGATAGGAGTTTGACAGCCGCCCCCGCTGGCGACCGCATACTTCGTAACCAGCGAAGTCCATTAACACACGGCCTACGGCAGAGCGTGTATATTGCAACAACACTTCTTAGCACCGTCAGCAATTTCGCTAGAGTGTGTATATTAAACGAATATACGCTCGACAATTTACCGCTTTAAACACACAAAATCTTAACTTCCATAGGTTTTTAATTCCTTTTTACAAAATACTTAAAGCCTATGAAATTACGGATCATTCCATCAGTACAAAATTCATGGAAAACAGAGCCATAACTGTAAGCTCGATCACAACTGGGAGGAGAGCGAAACAGCGTTCATTTTTAAATATCAGCAGCGCAGCAGCTTTAAAAATTATGCATAGTTATGCGTGCCAGACTGAGACATTAATAGAAACGCAGAAAAAGCAGAAAACAGCAAGAGATTTAAAGAAAGAGGCCCATACAGTTTAAATCTTCGAGCTGTAATTTAAACACAGAAACGGCCGATCAACAAAAGTCCTCACTTCCAAAAAGGGAATCGAATTCCACGCAGAGGATGACGCTGCCCAAAAATGCGCTTGCGTTCCTTCTTCGGTTTCTGGATGATGCCGAAGTCTTCGTCCACCCACAGCATATCCACGGGCAAAAATTCAATCGGATCCTTAAAATCCAGCTTGTGCTCTGCCCACCAGTCATCCACATCTAAGTCTGGCTCTTTCCAGTCCTCCAGATTGCCAGATCCCCAGATATTTGGAACAGGCTCATCATCCAAGGTGTACAACATACGGCCGCAGGAACCCGGACCATTATTTTCGCAGTCAACACAACAGAGTTCCTCCTCCATCACACGCTTGTTGTGTTCCAGCATGCGCTGGTGACGCTCACGCGAAGTTTCCGGCGGGTTAAATAGGGATGGCAAACCACATTCCTTCCGCAGACGTTCAGATGCTTCACGTCGAACTGGAGTATCGGGATACAGAATAAACCCGATCGTTAAGTAATACATCTGTGACTCCGACTTGCGGATGTTCTCAATCTCCAGAGCCACCTGAGCCTCGAAATCCAATGGCTCGGGTTCTACAAAATTCAAAGCCATGATTTCCGAGTTAGAGAGCCTGCACAGTTCTCTGATAGGAATGTACGGAGCATCAAGCGAACGCCACAAGTGCACAAACTCAAAAATGTGTTCCTGGTTCGCCAGAACATAAGCAACAGAGTCAGAAAATTTCACAAACTTACGGCGCTTTTGCTCATCTTGCTCGGCACAAATCATACGCCCGCGCTCTGATTTATAAAATTCCATCTCCATAGTATGAAAGAGCAGAGATTTAAACCAGAACAAACGACGACAAAGTCTGTAAAATTTAAAAGCTGCAGCTAAAAATGTAAAAAGCAAGAGTGAACAGGAAAACCGCTGACACACCGCAGCTGTGCAGACCGGAAGCAGCTGTGCACTATGTGACTGCCACTGCCCTAAAATTTAGCAACATACGGGCGGTTGCCATGGTACTAATTGTTTACATGTTCAAACGTGAAGACTTTACATTTTTAAACTGTCATTTGTGTGTTAGAATGGTTTTCCGTCGGATTATCTGCCACATTCTGATTTTAAACAACCGGAGAAGTCCGATTTGAACCGATTTATTGCTAAACAGCCAAATCTGCGTTCCAGAGAATGAATGGTAAGCCAGTTCGTAGAATAGCTGCACGTTGCACAGGCTGTAAAAATAACGTTAAAGATCTAATTGTAAACGGAAAACAGGTTCTGTACAGAATTCTATAGACTTGGAGTAAAATGCTCAACACTAAAGATAATGCTCCTCCGTAAAACGAAAAATACAGAAGCTAAACTAAAAAGGGTGCTAGAACAGGGCTGTAATTGCAGGGAAAAATCATCATTACACCGCAGCGCCCATGTTATCGTCGTCGTCATCACGGCGTGGACGGTGGCGTTTAGCAATTGAAGCATCTAACTTGCCCGGGCCACGCTTCTCCTGTCCTTCACGTAACAGCCAACGAGTTTGTTGCAGTTGCTGCTGTTGACGGGATGACGAGCGCGGATCCGCTGCATTCAGACGATCGAAATAGCGCTGCTCTGCTTCCAAACGGTGATCCTCGTCAATATTGGAAACCAACTCCTCGATATGCTGATTATACGCGTCCACGAGCGTAACAACGGCACCATGGTCTCCCGTTTCCCCCGGGACATAATCCAACGCAGTGAGAAACTCGACAGGATTGCGCACCACATTGATGCCGAAGTTCCGACGGAGTTCACACACAATTTGCCCGATGAGCCATCCTTGGCGGAAGTCCACACGCAGGTAACGTAACAATGCATAGTGTGCATCCTTTGACAAATCTAGAGTGTGAACAAAGCGGTTATATTTGTCCACCGTCATCTCCGATCCATTATGGTAAATCTTGCCGCGGAAACGCAATCGAGTGTCAGGATGGAGCTCCACATAATCGGCGTCCGGATTGTAGGGACAATTAATCAAACCAGATGGGGGAATGTAACTCTTTCCTCCACGAGCATAGTCATGCGGAGACGGACGAAGGCCACAATCCACCATGAGATGGGACCATTCAAATGTTGGTTCAGGCCATCCAACATGAGGATCGGGGTACATTGGCGGCTGAACATCGGCCAAGACATCTGCCAAAACCTGCACCGAATCCTCCGAGGAACTCGTAGTATCCTCATGCGTGAAGGAATGATGTGCTGGCATTTTCGGGCGATACATTATAGCGGTATGGAGTTATTTCAACCGTAAAATCAGTGTAGAGAAGGAACAAATTCACGCAAGATTGAGAGTGAATTAATGAATGCCACTGATCTTTACAGGTAAAAATCGCATTTGCGGCCAGCTAAAAGCAGCTTTCCACGCAGATGATATGCCGAAAGAGCAACGAACGCTACTACGTCACTGCGGACTGTCCAATGGCGAGTACACACCGTCAATCTGTACGTACAAACAGTTTGGGAATTTTCCAGGTAGTTTAATGCAGTAGAAAGTAAAAATTTCAATCCTTAGAGTTCAAAAATAAAATAAAAATAAAAATAAAATAAATGTACAAATTTACACGGCCGCTCGGCCTTTTAATCCAGATTACATAGGGTACAAATTCGGCAAAATTTCGCTAAATCCGACTTCATTTCAGGCCAGAAAAACCGAAGGTTTTTATATAAGTAATCATATGGCGAAATGGTACTGCCATACTTGTGAAGCAACCGACGGTGTACTGATTCAGCTAATATTTTACGCCATTGAAACGGTATCAGAATTTTAGGGATTCTTTTCTGGATATCCTCTCTTTCGCCGTAATGGCAGATAATGCCTTTTACTTTCAGAACTAGAGGGAGATGCCAGGCCGCGTATGCAGATTCCTCGAGAGTACAATCTCCATCAACAACGGCGTCCCACAACATCATGTCACTGCACTCCGTCTGGCGATACCTCCAGAATTCCTGCTTATCAAGAGCGTCATCGGATATTACGTCTTGTGGCCAGAACTGCTCAATTGGACGTGCCCAAGCCGGGACTGGGAGAGTTCTGTCTTCTATAACTGCAGCAGAAGTTTTTGTTGGCTGCGCCGGCCCAATCTCCATTGCGTTACAGGTAATTGGCGAAGTATCACAGGCCACCGGGGCAACTAGTTCAGATTGGCCCCCTCCCGGCTGGGATACATTCAGAATAGCCGGTTCTCTAACATTTGTGGCCATGCGCTTTTTAGCATCAGCCGACGGGTCTCTTTTGCGTTTTTTGTCGTTGCTCTGAATAATAAATCTCTCCACAGGTTTCACCACACGCCCGGAGCGGGTTTTAAGTAATGGAACCGCTTCCATCTGGTTATCCAGATATTCAGCGTACTCAGCATCAAGGCGCGACGATGCTGAATCAACGGATGGAATCACCGGCGGCGGCGCGGGCGCCTCAACTAACTCATCGGGGCATTCCTTCTCCACACAATCGAGCAACTTCGGTAAGTGCTCGTCTTGCAGAATAGTATCGACGTCGCGGAAATTATAAGGCTTTAAACGGCTGACATGTACAGTGTCAGTTTTAACATTTCCGCGCCGGTTACTTTTACTACATAATGCACCGGCCCTGACTGACGCACAATTTCCCATCCAGCAGTCCAACGGGGCATAAGGGATGGATTCTTCCCCACTTTCCGATGAAGTACGTATACCAAAACTTGATCTCCCGGTTTATACGATACATGTGAAATATTTGCATCGTAACGAATTTTGTCCTTAAGTTTATGGCGAAACTCTTCTGCATTCACCAAGTCCAAGGCCTCGCCAAGGCCACGCTGCATCTGCTGTACGTATACATGGGCGGGAATCACAAAATCCTCTTCAAACGGCAGGAAGTTATTTATCGGTAAGCGCATCTCGGTGCCGTGCATCATGAAGAATGGTGAGCGGCCCGTTCGTTCCACAACCTTACTGTTAAAGGCAGCACAAAGTGCTGGGAGGAATATATCCCAGTCGCTTTATATCTATATATCCCAGTCGCTTTATATTTAGCCCAATATATCCCAGTCGCTTTTGACGTGGGAAGGAGGATGTACCCACATCGTACGTCCAGATGCCTCTAAGATGTCCGCCTTTCACCTGTAAATACGAGCCGCCATGTTATTATCTAGTCATCTCTCTACCTGTGATTGGTCGTACGATAAATCCCTAGCAATGTATGCCGTGTACTTCTACTAGTCTATATAAGCTCGAGTGATGCCTAATATCGGGAGCGGTCAGGAATCAGTCTTTCGATTTCTGACATTCTTACTTCTCTGACTACTATGTGTCGAGGAAATACTTGTGAATTAGATTAAAGGGCAGTATGTTCTAAAGGCTACGACTGGCGTTCATAATCGACCTTTCGGATTATAGCGTAGTCAGCCGCAGTATACTCGCGTCACAATTGACTTTCACCTTGATCTGATCCTTGAATTACCCGAGACCAGAAGTGAGAAGTAAGGTATTCGTTTGTCTGTTCGTGTGGTTCGCAGGGCTCCTGATAGGGATTCCTGGTTCCTGTGTTCCGGTTCGTATCTTCATCGTTCCTCCAAGTTGTTTTCGCCATACCAGTTTGAGAGAAGAGTGCTCATACCGCTTAGCGTGGCTGGGAAGTGGTTACTCGACGTACCGATCTTGTAATACGACATGGCGCCCACCGATGGTTCGTAATTTTCTCGATGGTACAGCGAAAATTGAGGATGGAATTTTGATGGAGGTTTATGCGTGAAATTGCGCAGAAGTGGTTTGTAAAAAGGCGTTGAACCGAAAGGTGCGCCGAAGGGGGCAGAGCTTCCTCACCCAGGGTTATTATTTTGATTGCGAGCTTCCTCGCTGTAAGTTGGTGAGCTTCCTCACCGGGCAGAGCTTCCTCGCCCATTTTCAGTAAAATTTAATTTGAATTGATCGGACCGTAGAAAAAACAGTCAAAACCTTAAAGGTTGGCTGAGTGTGAATAAAAGTGCCATTTTTGGGTAATTTCCGGGTTGTCTGCGCAAAGCAGTAACCGCGGTAAATAAAGCGTAATTTGCAGTGTCAGTGTGCCTGGCCTGCAGATTGATCAGATAGCTAGCACCGAGTTATTGTCAGTGGCTTGGTGAGATAACAATCTTTGGTAGCTGAATAAAGGCAAGCCGCAAGCGGTAGCCAAAATCAGCAGCCAGAGATAGTTGTTAGTGGAAAAGGTAAACACCGGCAAACGGTGATTGACCTGTGAGTTAAATTACTGCAGCACGCAAAGTGCAGCAGAGTAATTTTTACGTAACGATCTCCAGCAGCTCGATAAAGGCAAGCCGCAAGCGGTAGCCGAAATCAGCAGCCAGAGATAGTTGTCTGTGGAAAAGGTAAACACCGGCAAACGGTGATTGACCTGTGGGTTAAATTACGGCAGCACGCAAAGTGCAGCAGAGTAATTTTTACGTAACGATCTCCAGCAGCTCGATAAAGGCAAGCCGCAAGCGGTAGCCAAAATCAGTAGCCAGAGATAGTTGACCGGATAAACGTAAACACAGACAGTCGGTGACTGACCTGTGTGGAAAATAGAAAATAAAATCACTGCAGCACGCAAAGTGCAGCGGTGATTTTAATAAATTAATACTACAGTTGAAACCTTAAAGGTCGACAGTAGTAATTAGTTAATACAGTACTGTGACACTGCATGTGTATAGTCATTCAAACCGCAAAGGTGAATCAGCTGTACATTCTGGCAGTAAAGCTTTGCAGTAACAGGAAGTTGCTGCAGTGATCAAAGAAGCATTCAAACCGCAAAGGTAAAATGCTTGCTTTGTGGAAATGAAGTTGTAATTAGTACTGTTGAAACCTTAAAGGTCGGCGGTAGTAATTAGAGAAATTTATACAGTGCTATGGCATTGTATGTGTATACTGTATAGCCATTCAAGCAAAGGGAATGAGCTGTACAATCTGGCAGTAAAGCCCTGCAGTAACGCAAAGTTGCTGCAGTGCAGTTTAAATTATCTTATCAATCCTTGATCGAAGCCTCAAAGGTTGGTCAATGATTTGGTAAGATGCGTGCTACTGTAGATCGCACAAACGGTTGTGTCTTCGGGATCAGCACCGGTAACCAGTCAAGTTCGTGGGGGAGGCGGTGAAATAATTATAAATAATATGCAGTCAAGTTCGCGGGGAGAGAACAGGCGTCTTCCCATCCGCCAATTAAAAGGAAAGAATTCGTCAGCCGTCACCGGCAAGTAGTTCAAGTACCTCGTCTTCGGCATCGGTTAGTCCTGTGCCCAACTCCGGCTCAGTCAAGTTCGTGGGGGGTGGCGTCGGTTTGATGAAGACCGTCTTCACCTGTACCCACAGAAAGTCTCCACTTCTCAGCAAATTATCTCAGTAATGATGATAATTTTAATAAAACGAGATCTGGTTTAATTTTTAAAGTTTAGAGTTTAAACGCAGTCATACGTTGTTCGAAAAAGGAAAATTCAGTGCTTTGATAGCGTGCAGTTTTCGCAACCGGAAATGCAGTGTGTAGTGTGACTGCCGTGCTGTGCGGTTGCACTGCGATTTTCGACTGTGTTGCATAGCACACTGAAATTTCGCATTTGTCTGTTTGTTGTGGTTTTGCGTTTCCTCTCGATTTTCTCCAAGTCTCCTGAATCCTGGATCTCACATCGCCACTTCACCATGGACCTCCGGATGCCAGCGCTTGACGATCACATACATTTACCGGATCAGGCGTATATCTCTTTGGCATCGGACGGACATGCGTGGATTGCGCGATGGAGATGGATGGATCAGGATGGCAGGGTGGTGCACGCATCGCACAATCACGGGATGGTACAGGATGGATGGCTTATATTGGCACGGCCAAGACTCGTTCGTGGGGGTGACGTGGGAAGGAGGATGTACCCACATCGTACGTCCAGATGCCTCTAAGATGTCCGCCTTTCACCTGTAAATACGAGCCGCCATGTTATTATCTAGTCATCTCTCTACCTGTGATTGGTCGTACGATAAATCCCTAGCGATGTATGCCGTGTACTTCTACTAGTCTATATAAGCTCGAGTGATGCCTAATATCGGGAGCGGTCAGGAATCAGTCTTTCGATTTCTGACATTCTTACTTCTCTGACTACTATGTGTCGAGGAAATACTTGTGAATTAGATTAAAGGGCAGTATGTTCTAAAGGCTACGACTGGCGTTCATAATCGACCTTTCGGATTATAGCGTAGTCAGCCGCAGTATACTCGCGTCACAATTGACTTTCACCTTGATCTGATCCTTGAATTACCCGAGACCAGAAGTGAGAAGTAAGGTATTCGTTTGTCTGTTCGTGTGGTTCGCAGGGCTCCTGATAGGGATTCCTGGTTCCTGTGTTCCGGTTCGTATCTTCATCGTTCCTCCAAGTTGTTTTCGCCATACCAGTTTGAGAGAGAAGAGTGCTCATACCGCTTAGCGTGGCTGGGAAGTGGTTACTCGACGTACCGATCTTGTAATACGACGGTCCAGGTCTGATTGTTCATGAAGGTACATGATATCTTACGGTTATAACAGTTTGGCGGTTCAGCCGAGCGCACGAACCCAAACTCATCACCGGAGGATTGCTCTGCATACTATTTAGAGCCAGCTGATGATGACCTTGATACTGATGACTTTCCAGCAAAGCTTTGTCTAAAAGAATCCGACGAAAAGCCGCTGTAAATTCCTCCACCTAAATGAATAAGTGCTAAGCACAGTTCATTATTAATGACAGCGGCTGTTATTATTGACGATTATTTAAAAGAATAATAATCAGTTTTGAATTTTACACAATTTATAATCAATTTATAGTCAATCAACAAAGAAAACTGGTGTCATCTGTATTACAATATCAATGTCTATTCGTAGGCCTTGCAAATTGCAAAATCTTATGTGGGTGGAGTCGATAGACTATACCTTGTCGCTCAGATAAACGAAGCATGTTGTCCTCAACGCAACCTGCGCAGACTTCAAGAAAACCACACTACCCGCGTTTGCAAAACCAGCGCCTTCAAAGAAATTTGCGGTGTTGTATACGAGTGACACGATGTCATGAACGTAATAGATAAGAACGCAAATTCCCATCAACCCATCCGTTTCTTCAACAATGATGCTCGTTGTCCGGTGATAACGGAGACACTCATTCAGTCGCACTAGTTTTCGCCCCGGTTTTTGTTCATTGCTGGTGGCCTTTAATTCTTCGGTTATTTGGGCAAAAGCAACGCCACACACCAAAGCGATAATCGCGGTGTACACCAATGCACACAGAATGCCAAGTTCAAAAAATTCCTCGGCAACTTCCATGATCGTTACAACAATACTAATCATCCGCTTGTCAACGGAAAAGGCACTGGCTATATTGGCTACTTTCTGGTTACCCATGCCACCGGCACCGACTGCTCTGTAAACGAATGCCGATTGTAAACTGACTACGAGAATGCATAAAGCGAAGGTTGAAGCACAGATGCGATTTTCGGTGTTTTTCTTAATGAACTGTCGGAATAATGGTTCCGATTGGCGGACCAACGCGGACATTTTACGGAAACGTCGGTTGACAATGTATGCAAGGAAAGGTACATCAATGTCCGTGAAGCATTGGCACGCAGAAGAGACCAGTTCGGCAACAGAGCCATTTTGATACTGGATTTTGTGGGCGATTGAAATTACGGCAAGAATAACGGAACTGGACCATAAAACAGCAGCCCAGGGGAGCCACAAAATAATTATAAAGCGGAGCGATTTTCGGCAGAAAGTGAGTTCGGTTGGACATGATACGGTAGTCAAACACAAGGCTACTTCTAAGAATTTGAACACCGACTGCAACATTTTGGCGAACGAAGGTAGCTTTAACAAGTTTGGCTACAAACTGTAGCGTTCATGGTTTGGAGAAAAATTTTCCACCAGTTCCAATTAAATGTGTGTCTTTGTACAAACAACAAATTGTCTGGATCATCATGTTTTTGTGTGCCGATCAAGGGTACCAGCGGTTTGCAGTAAATGCCCCTTTGGGATGGGACTGGAAAGCCAACGCTTTGCTAGTAATTACTAATGTCAGTAAAGCGTCTTTCATTTATTTTCAAGCAGGAAGTCATGCACAATTTAAAGGTCACCACGGGATCACATAGCAGTTCATAGTCAAGTTTTTCTAAATAATGCGGGGTAAATGGGGCAAAGATGAGGAATCTAACCAGGGCCCTACCAGAGGCCCCCCAGAAAAGTCCATATTTTGTTTGAAGACGGGGTATGTACTGGGAATACTTAGCAAGTATTTTCATCGGCAATGGTCCAGTTCGGCGTGGCCAAAAACAAATTTAAGTACATAATACAAACCCTTATATGTTGTCTATGCAACTACTTATTCCAGTAATCCTGGTGATACTAAGTGCCAGATCTATACTACGTGCGGCGCCCCATAGTTTTCAGATCTCAATAAGCAAACCATTTTTTCTAAAAACTGACACTACCAATAGATCGGCCTCGGTTAAGAAATGGCTCACATGGTTTTCGTTTCTAAATTTGTTCGGCCAGATTCGTGCCGGCACGATGCCCACTTTCAAGGTGACCTTGACACTTAAAAAAATTCTGCATGGATACAATACATAACACAGATTATTAGGCACACGCAATAAGCCAACATAAATTATAGTTTATTGTATTTATTTTCGTGCCACACCAAGCACAAAATTAATCGCAAGTCGAAATCTCGGGTTTCGATACGCGTATTGCCGTTATCTTGAGTACCCTGTGCTGGATAGCTGCTCATTTGGTTATCGTGCCGGCAGTCGTTACCGTTGCTTTTTCGAAATTATGATAGCATATATCTTAACCTTTGCAGGTGGTCAGGCCATCAGCCGACGTGTCATCGACAGAGTCAAATAACCAGCAGATAAAGTCAGAAAGCAGTGCGTTTTACTGCTAACGGTTTTAACAGGCAGCGTTTTAATCTGCTGGACACCTGCCGTTGCAATACTGCCTGTGCTGACCACAAATCAAGATCCCCTAGTCATGTTCTGGATTTTCACCATAAGTGAACTGCAGCCCGTAGTGGATCCCATAGTTTTCGCCTTATCCATGTCGGATCTTAGGCAATTAACCTTTCACCGCCCTCTAGGTTGAATCGTAAAACGGCGGTACAACACAGTGCTGAAAATGGCCAGTACTGTCTATGCATGTGACCGTCCAAAACGGACGTCAAAAACAAAATTACACCATCTTGCTGCCTCTCACCAGACACTTCAAATTTCTTCAAACCGCATCTGAAACTTTCGCTCTTTGCTGCAGCTTGACACCTAAAAGCATGAAAAGCTTATTTTACTTCCTCGGTTGCTTGGATTTCTCTTGACAGAATTCTGTACTCGTATAGTGTTTATATCATGTGTGATAAACAAAAATGAAATACGCCGAAATGAAAATGAAATATCGCGGACTTATATCTGCAACCCACATGCCATAGAAGAATAGATGCCACAGTACGTAGTTTTGTTTATTGTTCGGATAAAGCAATCTTCCATACGCGCCGATCAGGACTAGCACAGCAAGATGGTGTACTCTGTATAAGCACTAAAACTGTAGACATTCTGCGTTCATAAAGGTTTACTTGTCTAAGCATCGTAAAATACAACAATGTTAAAGCCATTCAGCCGAGCTCAATTTGCCCGTTGACAGTTACGATAAGGCAGAGGTAATAACAACATAAAGCAGGTTCTAAAGTAAAACCGATTAGTTTCAGATTATAAGCAATTTTATCGGCTTGTTTTCGTACGAGCGATAGCTCGCTGTTACAGCGGTTTACAAACACGTGTAATAAAACGCTTTACGATCGATATTAAAACAAACAGCTTTTAAAAGTATTTTATAAAGCTTGTGCTGAGCGGACGATCTCCGTGAGCTACATAAGAGTGTTAGAAACAAGCAGTTTATTAGTCTCCAATCGCGAACAGATTCTCATAACAGTCTCCAAAAACAGTCTTTATGATTGACAACTCCAATGCAGAAAGCGATGGGAGATATTCCAGAGCAGCTGCAAGGCATTCTCAGATATCTTAATGCAGAGAATGTAAACGCTGCTAGAACTATTTTGGGACTACTTCCGCGTCTTTTTGATTGCTCCTTTGAAAATAGAATCTTGACATGTTTGGAGATAGGTGCAATTTTGACGTCACTTACAGTGCCACAATATGGTTTGTACTCTTTATGCCTGCATAATACGTCCAGTTTTCGAGCTTTGAAGTTTTTTTTTCTTTCCGTTACAGTCCTTGCTGTTACTGTATTGCGGGCAGTTGCTGCCGCTCTTCTTGAACACAATGCGAAGGCATCGTGTGTTCAAGAAGAGGATTCTATCCAAAATGCGCTTCGCCGTCATGAATGTGGCAACCATGTTGATCGTTTAAAAGGTAAATTAAGTAAATGACGTAACGCTAATTTTATCGCAAACTATACAGATACTAAATTCAAAACTTTACAATGACTATAGCAGCACCATACAGGATGCAGCCAAAATAAAACCATCTCAATTTGCCTACTTTTAACCGGCTTAGTACTGTACTTTCACGCTGTCTTCACAAGCTCGAAATTTACGTTTTGAGGAGTGGCCAAGTAAGATTGACTGATTGAGAATATAGGATAGCAAGTGCCAAAAGTAACCAAATATATATCGCATCCATGTTTAAGCAGCACGGCCAGCGATCGGCAATTTGGTTTCTGTCAGTGCCGTTCCGAGATCTATTATTACCGAAATCGCTTGTTGAAGCATCTGTTTGTACAGTTACTAATTGTTGCATTACGCAAAACAGAAGCAGGCTAATTGTAAGCATGTCGCAGTAAAAGTGCTAATGCCCTACAAAATCAAAAGGTGGACAAGAGTAAATGAAAGGTTTCATTTTGCTTCTTACAGCTCTTATGGCAGATGTGGATTCTGTAATGACAAGATTAAAGACAGATACGAATGACGACAATCGGGATCCTCCTTCAGCCCAACAGATAGCAACCAATTACAACATTCTGACGAACGGACATCTGATGGCAAGCGCTGCTTTTTTCGGTAAAACTGTAGAAATTGTCAAATACACCTCAAAGGATATCGTCGAATTGAAAATCAACTTTGCAGATCGAGTGGGAACCATATGCTCAAAGGGGGAAGCTCCGGTGTACTTGGCTTTACTGAAAACGATTGCAGTAGTGGCAACTCATTACCTGCTTTTCGAAAACCTTCGGATCACTTTGATAGCAGCAGTACAAGGCTCTCCAGGCGTACGCGAGCAGACACTAGTCTGGAAGCGGCATTTAGCAGAAGCGCTCAACGGCATGGCCCTTGTTAACGAAGACAAAGTGCACTTTGCTGTCTGCTATATGACATCCGCGTCAAATACCATGCTGGAAAGATTTCGACAGGAGGTTGGCTGCAGTGCATTTCTTCAGAACAACGCCCCGCTGTTTACAAGGAAGGCAGTTATCGTATCCAGAGCGGGCGTAGACCTTGGAGATATTCTGCCCGATCCTTTTATACGTGAGAGACGATCCGCTTACGTTCAGGTAAGACGTGAATAAAGCCAGTTAGTCAACCGATACCCGATACGCTTCTACTTAACATTACTTTGTTTGATGAATACGTACCCGTAGTCCGTACACTGCGTTTCAACTTTGAGGTTACGATTCACTCGGCGCACTACCGTACTCTTTAAAGACTACACTCAATGATTACCTTTCGTGCAGTGCAATACCATATCCGCGCACAACATTTGGCTCGGTGCTCTACCATTCGGCCGCACCTTTATCTTCCGTGGGCAGCTTTTTTGGGATTGCGGGAAATTTACTTCCGTTGTTTATCTGTATTGTCTAGCAGCAAGCACAGCCAATATTTTTGCTTTACTGTATCAAAGGCAGTAATAAACTTGGTCGGAGTATAGTTAAGTACTTTCGATGCCCACACATCGGTCTTATAAGATTTATGGTGCCGAACGAAAGCAGAGCCTTAAAACATGATGCAGCGAGCAAAGGCTGTACAAAGGTGTCTGCAGACTACCTCGCAAATCCGTAAAGAAGATACTTTTCGGAGTGCTAACCTTATCTATTGATCTAAACTAATAAGCTGTTGTTTAATGTTCTAGAATGCTTCCATTCGCGCGGCTGGTGTTGTCGCAGTTATACTTGCACACGGTGTTGCCGGTGTCACGGCTCTGCTTAATTCAGAACCTGTAAGGACACTTTGGCGGATAAGATTAGCTGAAAATGGAAGTTCCAGATTATATCGTTGTTGTCCCAATGGACTGCTGGCATTTGGTATCCCGCACATTATTGAATTAGAGAGGCTCAATGGGCAATTTGTCTTTATAAAGCTGATTGACGGTTCTACGTTAATTTTGGATAAGCTTACCAACGCGTTTATCACCAAGAATTTTAGCGCCAAAAGACAAGGAAATCAGATTATTCCGGGCGACGACGGACATTGGCTTATACAAGAAGTCTGGTAGCTTGTGTATAATTAAAAACTGAATGTGTTCTTATTTTCCTACTGCTACAAGCTGAAGAGTTAAATTTGTTGGGCAGCAACGCAAAACAAAACACAAAACTATCACAAAAGTTTAGAGTTCAAATACTCGCACTTCATTTCCGTTCGGTTCGCAAGTATATTAAATTAAGTATTTAACGTGGTGCGAGCCTTGCGAGGAACGGAAAGACTAAACATCTTATGCGAATCAGCCTGTGCCAGTCTAGCGAGGAAGAGCTATACAAATATCCTTATCCGGTGTTCCAATGCTCTCCAGAAACTTGAATACCAACCGGATTTACGAATTGACTACCGCTAAACTTACTTGTGACTTGCACAACAGGAGATTCTAGCGCGTGACTTCCGGTAATAGTGTCAGACATCTGCGCTATAATTAACGCTTTGTCAATATTCAATAATCGCATGCTCTGACTTCTGGTTAACCATATGTAGAATTGCGGTAAAACGCCTGCGAAGCAGGAGCAGTGTGGATCTCCTATCTCTGTATCTGTACTGCTATCCAGCAAGACAGTACGCCTTACGCCAGTCTTAGCAGAACTGCAGCCTCTTCAGTACTAAAGGGTTTCTGGTGAACTGATTGGTGTAAAAATTCAAATTTTCTTTTGTAACGGTGAGTGTATTCTGCCGCACTTTCCCGGTTCACAGCGATCATGAGCGGTATGACTAATAACAGCTCAATAATAACTCCATGACGGTACTACCGCCAGCTGCGCCACGTGCAGTAACTGTGAGAACGTCGGGAATTTCGAGGATACAATTGTGGATTTGGAGCCGCGTGGAGGATCGCTTAGGCTCGCACCGAGGACGTAGCGAAAGCTGCAAGGGGGGTGTGAGGAGAGGTAGCACGACAACTCTATGACCTTCATCTCGCTGCCCGACAATTTGCTGACCGACTTGTTGCTGACTATCACAACTTGCTGACCGACAAATCGTTGACCGACACTTCCCTTTTCTACAAACTTGCTGACCGACATCTTGCTGAAACCAATTTGCTGAACGACAACTTACTTGTCGGTCAGCGAAATGTCGGTAATCGACAACTCGCTGACCGACAACTTGTAAAAAACGAAAACTTGCTGACCGACAATTTGCTGACCTGTTCAACGCACATAAGCAAAATTTACGCGAAAATTAAAATCTACGTTTATTTCATGAAAAAGAAGCACTACAGTGACATTTATAACTGAAATCTGTTGTTTGTTGTTGTTGTCTTAGTTAATAATAATTATTTATTAATAGTTTTTATATATATATATTATATTTATAATTACACCGGTGGTATTCGGTCTGCGGCGTAAGTATCTGTATCACCATCAAAACTCAAAATTTATACTTGTATCGTTAGTGGTAAAGTGTTTCTGCACAGCGAGAACGGATTTCGTTACTGCATATGCGCACAATACCATCCTGCTGTTTGCACAACCTGGAAACAAATATCTGCCAGTAACAGTATTGTTCATTGCATTTGTACTTGTAGCATCTTTGTAGCCTTTTATTCGAAATGGTGTTTTTGTTTATTTGTTTATCACAATGATTCGATGGATAACAAAATAAACTGGTGGTCAGCGAGTTGTCGGTATTTCCACGAATCGTCGGTCAGCAAAATGTCGGCCAACAAATTAGTATGTAAGCAAATTGTCGGGTAAACATTTTGTCAGTCAACAAAATGTCGTCAGCAAATCGTCGGTGTCAGCAAACTGTCGTTCAGCAAAATGTCGGTCAGCGATTCGTTGTTTCAACAAACTGTCGGGTCAACATTTTGTCGGTCAGCAAATAGTCGTCAGCAAGTTGTCGGTCAGCAAGATGTCGGTCAGCGAGTTGTCGGTGCGCCGTGAGGAGAGAAGCGGCTCATATACAGCGACAAAGTCTTTCAAGGATTTTCAACACTTTGCGCCGTGGTGCAGTGGCACTGCCTACGCGGATCTAACGACGTAGCCGGGGTTCGATTCCCCAATCGGCGCATTTTTCGGCCGTTTCTCGGTTTCCCTCGGATGGCGCCTGCTGAGACGCGTATATGAACATTATTTACCTACCTGATGCACCGAACTTAGGTAATCTAAAACCTTTTATGCGAGTCATAATGCGACTCAGCCTCTTGCGAGACAGGATTATAAATTACATCACTCCTAGTGTTCTAATGCTGTCCAGAATCTTGAGACGCAAACGGATTTACGAATTAATTACCGCCAGACGCACGTAGGACTTGCAAAACAGCAGGTTACAAGCGCATGACTTCCGGTAGCACCACCAGACATCCGCTCTATGATTAACGATTTTCTGTCAATACTTAATAACCTCCCAATCGGACTTTCTGATTAACTGGAGTGGCGGTAAAAACCCTTGCCAGCCGCGAAGCCGAAGCAGTACCGATCTTATACTGCTATCCTGCAAAAAAGGTACTGTACATTATATATAAATCTTGAAAACAGCACCGCGATGTCGTCATTCGTGTCACGACTGGGGTGGAATCGTAAACTGGTGCATATGAATGTAAAGCCATTTAAATTTTTAAATTTGCGGCTAGTATATTTTGCCATACCTTTTGCGATCCAGCGCAATCATGAATGCTCTGACTAACAACAGCTCATCTACCAACTACTCGAGTGACGTTTGTAGGGCTGCCGCCAATCCGGTGACCTGGTCACTTAACGCCATCGTATCGCTCACACTGTCTGCTTCCATCTTTGCACTAAACGGAGTTGTGCTGGCATTTTATCTTGGTAACTGGCGCTTGCTTAAAGACTTCCATGTCTACGTTTTCGCACTCTTATTCGCTAATTTTCTGTATCCAGTGTGTTATGGACCGACTGATGTGATCAATAACATATTCGCGGTCTGGTGCTGGGGTTCGCGCTGGTGTACGTTTTATAATTACGCCAGTAACGCCATTCCTTTCATGGCAATTTGTCTACATGTAGCCATCGCCATTAGCCGATTCTGTGCAATGATATTTCCCACTCAGTACCGTCAACGCCACACTACGCGTGTCGCTGTAGCGGTGTATGGCATCTGCTGGACTGCCGCTCATTTGCTTGTCGTCCCGGTTGTGCTTGTAGATGCGTTGATCTACAGGAAACCGGAAACCCTAGCCGGATGCGTTATAAATTTTTCGCTGGCGCCGGCTCAGCAAGCTTGGCTATACTTTGCCCAAGCTATTAGTTTCGCTATGCTGGTCGTTGTGCTGGCCCAGTATCCCGTAGTTCTCTACATAAGGCGCAAGCGCTTACGTAAGCTGGGACAGATGCGGCATGACGATTCTCAAAAGACCGGTAAATAATTTGCACACTTCGATCACTAAGCAGAAGCAGCTTGCCAGAGAACCATAATTCTTTATAGGCGAACATACGCAGCCGGCGGATTCATCATTGACTCAACGAAAGAAACAACAGAGAAAGGCAGAAAGCAGTGCCTTCCTCTTGCTAACAATATTGACCACCAGCGTTCTAACTTGCTGGACACCATCCGTCCTTGTGTTTCCCTTCTATACCATTTCGGAAGACCCTGTCGTCATGTTCTGGATTTATACGTTGTACGAGTTACAGCCAGTGATTGATCCCATAATCTTCGCTCTATCATTGCCAGATCTTCGTCGGATAATATTTCGGCGACGTCACTGATGGCAAGACCCTTCAGTTTTCTTTTTGTCGAACCAAGGGCCGGTCAACAATATCTTAGTGAGAATTTTTTTAAGTGACATAACAATAAAATCCTGCTCGTATTGCTTTTGCGTATATTTCACACCGATTCTTAGTCGTGAGCCAGTTGTTTTGGTAGCAAAGAAAAGAAAATCAATTATATAGTGTTATTCGGATCCGGGGCTTTGTGGGAATAACCAATATTTTCTTAAATGATTTAACAACTATTGTTATTTGGGCTCTTATCAGGATTTCAGCGGACGCCCAGCCACGCAATATTACAACCTTTCGACGATGCTGTTAGAAAATCTCAACTTGAATTATCAACTTGTGCCTGGAGAAGCATCTGGCTGTGTGTACCGTAGACTGAAATGACAGAAGGTCCTCTATCCAGCTGTGATCAAGACTATTAAAATAAACAAATCACATGATACAAGAGATGAATTAATAAATGCATGCTCTGGCTTGCGCTCATCGCTGATTAAAATTTGCTTTGTTATCTGTGATGAAATAACGTACAAATATCCATCTGCCGAATGACAAAATGTTGTGTAGCCTTCTTGGTGCGTGTTGTCTTTCCCTTATCTTATTATTTTATCTATCTAAAGGTTTTTTGTAACTGTGGATTAATGTGCCCGTGCTTGCGCTATTATTATTTTGATGGCTATTGTCTATTAAAGCAGTCCTTAAATGATTGTGCACGCTGATGCTGTAAGGGACGGGACCTGTTTCTTTACGTCGATTCCTCTCCTCTGCTGCATATAAATACTCGTTGCCATTAGTTGAATGTGAAAAATCTTCGTGAAAAGATTTATTACCGATTGTGTCCTATTCTGATAAGAAATTTACAAGCATGCGTGGTGATAGTATGATTTTTACGTATGGGCAGTCCCGGATTCCCGGGAATCCTGCTGGACGCAGCAAAACGCGGTACACCCCGTTTACGGGAAGAATCGGCACGTGCAGGGAATGTGACTTAATTTGTCGTTCTTAGAGAGCTTTCTTTGATCCCTTGTTTTTCATTCAAAGCTCTGTCCAATGCTTGAATATAAATATTGGTCATGGATAGCCATTGATTCCTGCTTCGCCGTGAACATTGCAGTTATACAGAGGCATTGACTGAACTCTTCCTTCCCTGATAATTTCACTTTACTGATAATAAGCTTTCGCTGATAATTTACAAAGTATAAAGGATAAACGGCCCAGTTGTGTAAAATAAGTATTGATTCACTGCTGCACTGTACACTAGGCTCAGGGATTTCTTGATAAGCAGGCTGGAGCTGTATTAATATATCTTAATGTTACGATAGTATGAATGATATGCCCTTAAGCAGATCCTTGTTTACAGTGAAAGTTCTTACATCATGCATTTCCCCAAACCGCCTTAAGCGTCAGAAGTGTAGAACGCTAGAA